TACTGACCTACTTTCACCCATATGGCAGGTTTTGCTAGCTTGATGGTGTGAAGGGTGAAATTTGGCGGAAAGACAAAAAGATCTCAATTATTAAAGAGAAGGTAGGCGTGTTTACATGATTTCATTTGGTTGGTAGCGGGCTTTTTGCATTTCGATCATCTTACTAAAGGAGTGATCGAAATTACGGAGAATCGGAAGATTACCACAAAATAACTTGCACCAAGGGATGGGTTTGTCTGACATTCTCTCTAACACAGATGGGACTGTAGCTCCCTCACCCCACAAACATTAAAGAATAAAATATACTGTAGCAGTCAAAACAAGCTCCAATATGCCAACCTCATTATCTTTTGAAACAGGCTCAAGTAAAAAAGATTTGAACCACAGAAAATTGTAAACAATGTCCCCGACACTCAACAGTATCATACAAAAAGAGAGATGATAGACTAACACCAGCTTCTCAATCTTCCTCCTCGGCCTCATTCTCAGCAATGTTGAAGTACCTCAACTCATAAACATTTCGATCCTTGTTTGAAGAAATAACTCGCAGCCAATCACGAACATTATTCTTCTTTAGATATTTCTTTGTCAGGTACTTCAAATACCTACTCAAACAAAACGAAATTACGAGACTGCATTGGCTGATATTTTCTTAAAGAGAGACAGCTTGTTAGACACACAACAGTTTGATTAAAAAGTAAAACAAGACTGTAGAAAAACTCAGGTCAAGAGAGCTGATTGAAGTCCCAAACGGAGGCCGGCCCCTTCTACGCAGGCATGCAAAAGAAATGGGCACTACCCCCTTACAACATCTTTTTACAGAAGGACAGGACAAACCTGTTCTTATTCTGAACAAATCAAATTCAATAAAATAAGGCTAATCAGCAATGTTTTACCCAAAAAAGAAAAAAGCAAGAAGACAAGTTCCAAAATAAATAAATCCAAAAACGATGTGCAATTGTAGCTTATGTTCTTAACCAATATAAGGGGAGTATAGTACTGTAAGACAGGACAAAACCATAAGTTTTCACAAAACTAGACTCAAAACATCATCCTAGATACACCATTCTCTAAGAAAGAATGGTTGGATCAAAGTCTAGCGATTTTAAAGTAGATAAGAGCAGTCGAACCATCTAAATGCTATTCAAAAAAAAAGGAAAATGAGATGAGACATCATAATTCTGGCACAACGCTTCTAACTCAAACAGTGTAGACACAAGTCACAACAACAAAACCTGTGTAATCCCACAAGTGGGAACTGGGGAGGGTAGTGTGTACGCAAACCTTACCCCTACCTTCGAGAAGACAGAGAGACTGTTTCTGGTAGACCCTCGGGTAGGAAAGGTAAACAGGAAGGGCAACAACAAGCACACCAATCAAAAAACCGAAGCAAAAATATAAAACTAACACTAGGTACTGCAATCAGAAAGTCGAAACGAAAGCAACAAGTAGTAACAGAAGTCAAGGAATACGAAAATACACAAATGACACTAAGTCATGTACTAAAGCTACTGTAATAAGGACAACGCTCGGCTACCTATCCTAATCTTTTAGTACCTTCCTATTCATGGTCATGACCTTAATAAGCTCGAGTAACGTCATATCTTGCCTAATCACCTCTCTCTAATACTTCTTCGGCCTGCCTCTACCTCTTCTTAGGCCCTCCAGGGCCAACCTCACACCTCCCCACCAGTGTAGATACCCAATGACAAATGAAAAAGGTTGTGATTTGGAGTGAGTAATAGTCCCTGGATCAAACCCAACTGAAAAAATGTCCTGATTTGAAGCAACCAACTTAGACAAAACAGAGTTGATCTATCCTACAAACTCCAATAAGTATGCCAATATAAACAATATCACCAAGAGGGACTAATATTTTTATCACTTTTAAATCATTCTTCAATATATTATTTGGGAGTCCCAATATACATGGACTGTGCCAACATTAACATTATCATCACGAGAATTAGGGTTTTTATTACTTCTAAAGTATTTTTTTATTCATTTTTTCTCAGGAAGTACCAAAAAAATACAGAGAATAAAAGTCAAAAATTCTCCAAGTTACTACCATCACAGTTCCTCGTGCAAAAATTTCCACTTGATGTTACTTGTCAAGTTAAATAATTGAATACTACTCATTCTGTCCCACTTTATGTGATGCACTTTCTTCTTTAGAAATAATTTAACTTTAAACTTTTCATTTTACCTTTGAGGAGACAATTTAGCCACACAAATATCTGACTTATTTTAGACCATAAGTTTCAAAAATCTTTCTTTCTTTCTTAAACAACATACAGTTAAAGTGCAGCACATTAAAAAGGAACAGAGGAAGTAGCATTTTGTATTCAATGCATTTTCCTTGGCTACCCATAAAACTAAGTTGATCACATAATAATTTATTATTAAACAATGTTGTCATAAAGTAGAGCAAAACAAGAACGGTAGAGAAAGAAGTGTGAGAAATGTTGTTAGATAATCTCATTCAAGTGTGCATTCATAGGGCCAAGAGTACCCTATTTATATAGGGTGGAAGACTGAAGTAGACAATTAAATAAATGCATATAAAAGCTCTAAATGGTTCATTAAATAAGGAATTTGGAAGTAGTAATTGGACATCCACTTCTTAAAGTATTCAAACAACTTCCTCCCTGGATGTCCATTGCAAAAAGAATATATCTCGTTAAAACCTTATTAGAAATAAATCCTTTGGAATAAAAAATCTAGTGAAGGAAAAAGAGTAATATGGCGAAAGGTGAAAGAAATACCCACGATAATATAGGAAGATAAATACAGCATTACATAGGCCAATTAAAGGGTGATTTCACAAAGGAGATAGAATGAAGAACAATTCGCAAAATTCTATTTCACATGATATTAAGGTGCAGCAAGTGATAATCGGGGAGACTTGTTAAATAAATCTTCTTTTACATTGAGAAAATCCTTGTTGGCTTCTCGCTCAACTCCAGTTGGAGTAAAAGTTCAAAGCTTGGAGGACTATAAGCATGCTCTGCACTCTCTTCCCAACTTAAATACCAAGTTGCATTTTGTGATAAGGTTTGAAATTTTGACGTGCACCGGACCCACGATGTCCGCATCAAGAGCAACGGCGAACATCTAAGGGAGTAATGTTGTGAATACTTTATATTCATGAACTACCATTGAATTTTCCTATACATCCATGTGCTTGGAACCATAATACATAGACATCCCTTTGAACTTGCCAAAGTATCCACTTACACACTTTAAGTAAGGGTCCAACTCCAATCTATTGAACATCTTATGTTGTTGAAAGTGTGTCAATTGAACACGTATAGGGACATGGCAGATCCGTGTCATTACGCATAAACTTGAGCATACATTGTTGAAAAAATAAAAAAATTGCCAAAAAAGTTAATTTCCAGCAAAAAAATTCTCCTGATTAAGCCACCATTTTTTCCTTCAAATGTCAGTCATTTTTCAACAGAATTCCGGCCAAGCTCCTTGATGAAGAGTTTGAGAATAATAAAGGAGGCGGTACAACCAACACTTTGCTCATTTCAAATGCCTACCTTAATTTCATAGCAAAACTTTTACAACAATAGAGAACAAAGGAAATATCTTAATTGTCTTTAATTGGAGATAAAGAGCCAAATCCAAATCCTTTAGATTATCCAACACATAAATTTGACCCACAGCCAAACGCATCATCAGAAGTGCTTGCAAAGACAAACATGGTCAAAGCTTCAATTTCATCAACATTAACTCCTCAACCTTCTTTGTTCAAAGCCAAAAGGTTAATATTCACATAAATTTCTCAAACAACCTTGAAAGCCTTCTCTGTTTCAGATGAGTTTGTAAGTTGCTGACACCGAAGAGAAAAATCATTACTTTGGGTTTGACGATTGTCTCAGACAACTTCTTATCCAAGTTTCAACCACCAACTTTTCACCTAATCCAATAATTTTTTTAACAAACTTTGACGAAGTTTCTTTTTCTTATGTCTTAACCCCACAGATCTGATTCTTGACTTAAGAGAAAGAAGAAAGGCAACAAAAGGGCCCATTACAGCACAAGCAAATCTATTTAAGTACTAACTTAGAGGGCGTTTGGGTAAGCTTAAAATATAAAAACTTTTTTGGCTTATTTACGTGTTTGATAACTAAGGGCTCGTTTGGTACGAGGAATAAGGGATAATTAATCCGTGATTAAATTTGAGATGAGCTTACCCCACATTTGGTTAGGATAAAATTGCGGTATAACTAATCCGGAGATTAGTTATCTCGAGATTGTAGTGTTATTTTTATCCATGTGAAAGGGTGGGATAGCAATCCCGGAATAATTAATCATGGGATAACTTGTTTCCCAACCAAGCAACTTCTAAAAGTGTTAATAAGCGAAAATTATCAACGTCCTAAGTTGGTTATGAGCACTTTTGGTTTGACCAAACCATTTATTATTTTATCCTAATATACAACAACATACCCAGTATTATCCCGCACTGTGGGGTCTGGGGAGGATAGTGTGCACGCAAACCTTACCCCTACCTTGTGAGGATAGAGAGGTTGTTTCCAATAGACCTTCAGTCTAGGAAAGCCTAAGTACCACATTAATGAAAATATAGACAAGAAGGGATAGCACCAAAAAGCCATATAAAAGCAGAATAAAAACAAGATAGTTAGGTGATCAACAATGAAAGAAAACAACGGTTAGACATAAAAACCTATCACCAACAGAAAGCGAGACTGCGTGCCAATACTACTATTATGAACACCCTAGACTACCTTCCCTACTACCCTAATCCTCGACTTCCATGCCTTCCTATCAAGGGTCATATCCTCGATCAGCTGAAGTTGTGCCATGTCTTGCCTAATCACCTTTCTCAGCCTCTTCTTCGGCCTGCCTCTACCTCTCTGTAGGCCCTCCAATGTCAACCTCTCACGCCCCCAATATCTATTGTATATCTTAAATATTTTCCCTAAAACAGAACTTCTAACTTCCTCCCCATTCTATTTTGTAGTTTTTCATACTGCTAAAAATTCTTTATAATATAAATTTACTACAAAATGCTTTAAGGGCATTCTAGTTATTTTTAAAAGAAAAAGTGTTTAGTAAGTGCTTATTATAAGCTTCAACACTTGTAATTCAACCACTTGACTGTTTATTTGAGAATAAGTATTGGCAATTAGTAATGTTTTTCAACTTTTATTTCTTACAAGTACATTCAATTTGCTAATCCAACTTCTAATCAATTGCTTTTATGTCCTTATTTAAAAAAATCAATTGCTTTTATGTATATGTGGTGATATGTAAGCACATTTGAATGAAGGCCAAATTTCTAGGATTGCTTGGCACTATAGCAAGCCGAGATTGTTTTTTCTAAAAGCTAGAACAGGACTTATAGGGGAGAATCCTCAACTTCTAATCATTTCAACCATCAAACAAGCTGTTCTAAGTAACATAAAAAATAAAGATTTATGGCTACAACCCCGATTTTCACTTCAAAATTCCCAAAAACTTAGGGAGATTTTGATGGTTCCAGCAGTTGTTAAGTAATCCGCAGGTCTAAATGAGATAAACAGAGACATACCGCTTGGAGAAAGTGCTGTCGGAAGTGACAGTAATCTTGGTCTTGTCACGTGTGACGGTGACGGTGTCGCCCAAGGCACCGGCTTTTCCACCAACCTTAATGCGTTCCTGCAGAAACTTCTCAAGCGAGGCGATTTCCATGATTTTATCTTCCACCGGTTTCGAACAATCAATTATGAAGGTTGCCCCCTTCTTCTTCCCACCCTTTGCTGCTCCACTACCTTTACTCATCTTCGAAATTGGTTATCGAAATTCCTACCTACATTTCCAACAAAAACAAAACTGTATCATTTGGAAATACTAGGAACACGTAACTGTAAGATGCATTCAAAGGAAAATCTGAGAGTTTACCTGAGTTTAGTGTTTAAGGAAGAAGCTGCGCGCGATTGAGCAATATGAGGAGAGTGTTAGGGTTTTTGCAGAGTGGGGTTTCGACATGATTGGATTCAGAAATTTATTGAGGTCCATGAACCTTTGGGCCCTGACTCAGAAGTGTCAAACTTTCTACCGGACCTCATGAAAATAACCGAAATTGAAGGGGGAAATAAAAAATATTCACATTTACAATGGGTAATGAAAAATAGCCATAGTTTCAAGAATAATTAAAATTTTATCATTTTTTCATATAAAGAAAAAATTTAAATAAAAATACCCTTTAAAATCCGGAAATATTCCAGCATAATATGCTGGAGTTCGAATCTTTTACATATGAGCTTCCAGCATAATGTGCTGGAGCTCCAACATAATATGCGAGAATTTTATACGCAAGAGCTCCATAAATCTTGCATACTAAGCTGGAACTTTTCGTGTGTTGGAGTTCCAACATAATATGCTGGAAGTTTATACGCATGAGCTCCATAATCCCGCATATTATGCTAGAACTTTTCGTGTTTCAGCAAAATAGTGGCTATTTTTCAATGACTTTGCAAACGCTGGCTATTTTTTGGTTACCAATCCGAAAACTAGGTAGCCCGTGCAATTTTCACAAATTGAAGGGTCCAAACTCCAAAATATTTTATTTTCTGTTAAAATAGGAATCTTTATAGGAATAGTCTCTCGGACTTTATTATTTTTTCCGTTTCAATTTCAATGATTTAGATTGACTTGGAATAAAATTTAAGAAAAACAAAAGACTTTTGAAACATGTTGTCCTAAAAGCTTAAGGTGTTTTGTGGAACCATGGCATTTGTGTGGCTATAAAAGCTTTTCATTAAGAATAAAGTGAGTAAAATAAAAAGTTTATAAGTCAAATTGTTTCCAAAAATAGAAATATGTCATTCTTTTTTAAACAGACTAATAAGAAAAGTATGTCTTTTAAATTAAAACAGAGAGTATATGTATTTTTCTAGTCGGTATACATAGATACAGGAGGAAGAAGATTGTTATTTTCTCTAACCTTATAAATAAAATTCTTAATAAAAATTATTAGGATGGCATACTAAGTTCACTCAAGAAGTGGGAGGGTTGTGTCAATAAAACTAGGTAGCCCGTACTATTTTCACAAATTGAAGGGTCCAAACTCTAAAATATTTCATTTTCTGTTAAAATAGGAATCTTTATAGGAATAGTCTGTCGGACTTTATTACTTTTTCCGTTTCAATTAAGATGATGTAAATTGACTTGGAATAAAATTTAAGAAATAAAAGACTTTTGAAACATGTTGTCCTAAAAGCTTAAGGTGCTTTGTGGAACCATGACATTTGTGTGGCTATAAAAGCTTTTCATTAAGAATAAAGTGAGTAAAATAAAAAGTTTAAAGTTAAATTATTTTCAAAAATAGAAATATGTCATTCTTTTTTTAACAGATTAATAAAAAAAGCGTGTCTTTTAAATTAAAACGGAGAATATATATATTTTTCTAGTTGGTATACATAGATATAAGAGGAAGAAGATTGTTATTTTCTCTAACCTTATAAATAAAATTCTTAATAAAAATATTAGGATGGCATACTAAGTTCGCTCAAGAAGTGGGAGGGTTGTGTCAATTAAGCATGTGAACCTGGTTTTATTTGTGCATCTTCCAGCTACAATTCATTCTTCCAAAGAAGTTCTCAATCAAATTGATAGCATGTTTGGCCAAGCTTTTCAACGAGCCAAAAGTTTTTTTTTTTTCAAAAAAATACTTTTTTTAAAATTTGAAGTGTTTGGCCAAAATAACCTTACTACTTTAAGCCTAATATTTAGGATATTAGACATTCTCTTCGGCAAGCAAGTCACGCTTCTCTCTAGCAATAGCTTTACAATATCTTTAGGATAATTTTCTATTATGTTTGTGATTTTTGTTGTGGTGAATACTTTTATATTTGTTAAATGATTCTTGATATATTTAAATTATCTTGAAAGAATAAATTACTTTTTATTTATTTTTTCATATTTTACTTAAATAAAATGAAAAAACTTAATTGTTGTCTTGATAATAAATATTTATGATTATTTATCTACTTATATAATATTAACTGCTAAGCAAGTCTATTCACGTCCTTAAAAGTATTTTTTGAAAAACTTGGCCAAACACAAACTATTGCTCAAAAGTATTTTTCAAATTGATTAGTCAAATACAAACTATTTTTTTCCAAAAGTACTTCTGAAAAAAAAATACTTCTCAGAATAAGCTGATTTTTCCAGCTTGGCCAAACGGGCTATAAGAGTATGATGACAAGATTCTTCTTGGGAGGATCTACTGAGAAGACATGTCATTGTTGGGCAACCTGGGAAAATATATTTAACTTTCGTTATAATGAAGGAGGAGTTAGTTTGAGAAAACTAAAAGACACCTGCAATACGTTTACATTTAAGCAATTGTGAAACCTCATAACCAATAAATCTCTTTAGAAAGTGCTTCTTATGAACAAACATTACCACAAAATACACCAAGTGATCAAAAGATGGTATTCAAGGCAATCTCACTCTTCAAATGCAATGTGCAAAGTCAGGAAAGTTGCTGATCAATATATTATTTGGAAGGGAGGGGTGACAGAGAGTAGTATAGCTAAAGTCTTGAGGAGTATCATTCACTTCAAGGAAACCATCATAGTAATAAGGTGGATTAACCTCCCCCTCCCCTTGTGAAATCAAACTCATATGTGATGGTTGTAAGAATATAATTTGCGGAGGAGGGGGAATTATTAGATGTTGAATTTGACAAGATTAATGTGAACTAGTGTGAACATTTGAAGCCATATTTTAGGAAGAAATTGGTAGATGCATTTATATTGCATGATCATACTTAATATGATGTTATGCATGACATTATTAACGCAATTTTCCTTCTATAAATAGCAAGGGTTTTGTTCATTTGTAAACATCTCTCGTTTGTCTTCTTATCTCCTAAGCCATTTGAATCTTCTTTCTCTCTTGTAGTATTTCACTTGTATTTTTGGAGTGAAATAAAGTTTGAGTTAATTATGTTCGAGGACTAGGCAAAAATCAAATTTTGCCGAACCTCGTTAATTTCTAGTATTCTTTTTATTATTGTCTCATTTATTAGCTACCTTTAGATATATTAGTTGTAATTTAATCTCTCTATATATTCGGCTTTCGCAATATTAGAGACCGCAGTGAAAATCTGATTTATGCATACTCCATACCCCTTGGCCCTGGTTCTAGCAATTGAGCAGAAGCTTTTGCCCTACTCTTTGGCGCTAACTAGTGTCTTTCTAATGATTTTCGATATATTTTGGCTGAAAATGACTCTCAACTTATTGTTCAGTGTGTTTTTGACAGGTACAATACTCCATAAAGGACTTAAAGAAGTAGACGAGCTGAAAACACAAATGGAATAGGCAGCTTTCGTATTAAGCATTGCTTATGAGAAAGTAATCAGGTTGCAGACAAGCTAGAAAATTTGAGCTGTGATTTAGCTCAAGCACAGTTATCTCTGGACTACGCTGGATTGCCTCATAAATCAAAGGACTCATAAACTTAGATAAATAGACCATTCCAGCTTTAATTTGAGGACATCTACCAAGAAAAAAGCAGAGATCGCTTTTGAACCCCCTTAGTTTATGAATAACATGTATAGTTGTAGGCTTTTTGGGAGTTTATACAGTTATGGAGAACTGAACAGTCCAATTTCATACGCCTCAATAGCACTACAGAGCACCAAGTGCATTTGTATCATATCTTTTGTAAAAATGGATAGCTATAACTATTCTGCAGAACATAGAGTTTATTAGGCTTAGACAACTCTCTCATCTCAATTTAACTTACGAAAAGATGAATAAAATGCACTATTACAAACTAATAAAGAAACAAAAATTTCTATAAGATTAAAGTACTTTTTTTAAAACACTTTTCAAAATAACCAAATTTTGAAAAGTGCTAAGTTTGTCAAATTTAAATAATTAAAACTGCTCAAAAGTATATTTAAGAGACCACTTTGAACCTATCCCCATACATAAAGACTTATTTTTGCCATTTTTCCAAATCTAGTCATCATATATTAGTAAATAAAAATAATATTGTATGCATTGGTGTTGCACCCTATTTTGCACGGGTCAAAATAAAATACAACGTATAAGACTTTACAAGGTTAATTAGAGTTTGGAGTTGCCACCTAGTATTTAAGGTACACTAGGACACCTAAATTATGCTATTTGTGACTTCCAATTTTGGTATGTGAAAACTATTTAGATTCTAGGTAGACTTCAAGTTATCTCAAGGAGAAGATATTAGGCATTCCTCGAGATCCACAAAGTGTGATTCCTGATAGGACTTGATTAATTAAACGAGGGTTTATGTAGAAACTAATTAATTATTATTTACAATGAATTATGAAAGTAATTTGAATGAAGAATGATTAAATATGAGCGTCACATGGTAAAAATATAAGCTTCTATGTATAATAGAATATGTATAAAGGTGTGAAAAAGCAAAGTTTACGAAAATTATATTTTTTGATGACTAGATGAAATGTAAATGATGTATATTAACAAATAAAGTACTTATAAAATTAACCAAATAAACTTTTAGTTAAAGAAATAATTTGTCACGCCCCGACCTCGGGGAGCACGACCAGCGCTCAACCGAGATACTCCGGTCGAGCAAGCATGCACAATGTCGTCTACCCGACTCGCCCATGAATAAAGAGAGGGTACATTTCATTAATCAGATAATAAGAAGGTCACGTGAACAACACCATCTCATTACCATTGGTTACTTCATTTATAAGTCTCAAAATACATTACACATTCATAGTCTGAAGTGGAACATGTGATACAAATATAACATTTTTAGTTTGACTTTTCCAACACCAATATACAACCCACACCATGTGTATGGAGTCTCTAACATAAACCAAAGAGTGTTATGACAATGATGGCGACAAGGTCCCGACTATACCTCAAAATGCTATGTACAAAGGACAAAAGATACAGGACCCCGAAATGAAGTGGGGCTCACCTAGTTAGCTGAAGAGAGGGTGTACTGCTATCATTGTTCAATACCGCACGCTGTGGAACCACCTGCATGCATTAAAGATGTAGT